GATTGTCCCACCTGATGTCCTGATTGTCCCACCTGACATCCTGATTGTCCCACCTGATGTCCTGATTGTCCCACCTGATGTCCTGATTGTCCCACCTGATGTCCTGATTGTCCCAGCTGATGTCCTGATTGTCCCACCTGATGTCCTGATTGTCCCACCTGATGTCCTGATTGTCCCACCTGATGTCCTGATTGTCCCAGCTGATGTCCTGCACACAACAAACACGATGAAGACAAACTAAGTTCTCACCCTGGAAGGACAACGAGCGATCTTCTCCTCCGTGTCCTTCAGAGCCACAGCGTACTCATGGACCTCATCAGCCACTCCCACCATCTGCAGGAGACATGAACCACATGAGACCAGAGAGGCACAGGTTCAATTCCCCTCTGTGCCCACAAGCTGTGCAGTCCTTCATAAAGCTTCTGTGGTCTGCTCAGGTGGGCTCTGATTGGCTGTAAGGTTCTGGTGAAATGGACCGACCTTCCCCAGCTGCTGATGCACACTCAGGTTGTACATCATCACGATCCCGTCCAAGATCTCCAGCAGAGACTTGTCGATGATGGGCTGGTCCGGTTCCTCCTGAGGCCGGCCCAGCAGCAGCCCGTCTGAACCCAGGCTTCCTTCGACTTTAGGACAGACAGGAAACAGGAAGTTAGGTCATGAACTCACACACACTGGAGGAAACACCTGACATTAGACTTGGTCCTGGACTAGGTCAGAGGACTTCTGGTGGATCAGAACCAAACCCAGAGGTCTCGTGCTGTGTGTAGTTCTGGATCAGAACTCACTGTCCTCCTCGGTACGCTGCTCCACAGCCAGGGTTCGGACCTTCACCTTCTCGGGCTGGGACAGAGGTCGTCTCGGGGTCATCAGGCTGACGGCGGCCGTGCTCAGGAACCGGTTGGCCCGGCCCAAAGTAGGAGAACTTAACCAGGTGGGACGAGCCAGAGCCGCTCCCATGGCTGCAGCTCCAAACGGTCTCTGAGGGGGAAGACCAGGATTTAATTCTGGACCAACATCAGATGGTTCTGATGGTTCTGAACCATTCCAACCTGTGCTGCTCCACTCTCCTCATCCTCGTCCAGATCGTCCATGGAGGTGCTGTGGATCTCTGCCGGGTCAATGATGATGTTGGCTTTACCGGCCAGGTCATCTGGAACCACCCAGAACACAGGTCAAAGGTCAAACTGTGG